TTTTATTTTATTTTATTTTGCTTGTGCAGGGTAGGCTTTGTGGGTTAGTTGCCCATGTTACGTTGGCAAATAGTTTGGGTAAGGTGTAGGAAAGGCAGCGTGAATTTCGGCTGAGACGTTTGCCAGACCCAAGGAACTCAGAAGCCCGAAGATCTGCTGTCAGCAAAATTGATATATGGTCGCTTTTATGCAAAAAGTAACTACAAATTGTTTTAGTGTTAAGATATGTCGGGTAAAATCCATTAAAATAGGTTTCATAACAGCAGAGCAAGGCTTTGGGATGTGCTATAAATAATTAAAAAGAGCATGCTTAAGCTTTATAAAAGCATATTGTGTTCTTGGCTCAAGGCACTTAAGCCAAGCCATACACATATTATATATCGTATATGTACCCTTATAATCCTGATCACTGGCACTAGATGAGCTACTGTCTGTTGAAGAAATTATAATCTTTTTGAGTATGCCTGCAACCACACTTTTCAATAGTTTTTTATTCCATACATACTATGCCGTAGCTCGGCTTGGCATAAACTATACGAACTCAGAGACTAGAGGATCTATGATAACTCAATTTGATATAAAAATATTTAGAAGGCGTATATCATTCTTCTTTGTTAATTTCAATATCAGAATAATTGTGAATGCTAGCTTATAGTAGAGTATTTCTTGGTCGTATCACTATAAATTAGCTTTTTTCTGAGTGTGTTTTGTTTGTTTACGAAGCTGCCAGCCGCTAAAAATAGTTCGGTTCAGTCTGCGGCTCGACTCCAGCTCCGGCTCCAGCTGTGGCTCTGGCTCCGAATTCAGTTCTGTTTTAACTGGTTGGCTGGCCAACTTCCACGCCCTGGCTGGGGGCTATATTTGCAACCACGTTCAGGCAGCTGATGCCTGTCTGTGGTCCGGAGCTTTTAATTAAAGCATGCAAGTGCGTGAACGGGGCAGCTCTGTCAAATTTAGCCGTAGCCATAGCCGTTTCCGGCTAAGCTGGCGTGCCGGCCAGAGCGCCGATAGATGGCTGCGAGCCTGTCAGGTTCGTGTTTAACTCCTTTTTATTTCTTGCATATAATTTAAAGTCTCGTATTGTGTGTTTTCCCCAGTTTCGCCTTGCCCTCTCCCCTTTCCGCTTCCCGCTTCCCAGTGTCCACACCCACGCGATTCGGTCTGCCGCCCTCGCCAGCCGCTTGTTTACATTTTATATCAAAAACTTTTACGAGCTACAAAATGCGCTGAAGCTGAGCGCCAAAAAAGCAAACAAATGTGCCGAGAGTTGCGGAGCGGGCATAAAATAAATAAAAATAAAATTGATAGCATGCTCTTTGGGGTCTCCCTTCTTGTTGTGTTCTTCTTTCCTTTTCGTCTTCTTCTTCTTCTTCTTATGCGTCTGCTTCTTCTTGCTTTGTGGGAGCTGGGCTACTCTGCCCGGCCAGGGGATGGTCGCCCAGCTACCCACTCCTAAGCGGTCCCCCAAAATGGCGACTCTAATGACAATTATCGGCAACGCAATTATCTCAGCCAACAGATGATTACACTGCTTAACAAAATTAAAGTGGCTCGATTTCACGCTTAACATTCAAAAAGCCGCAAAGAATTCAGCATTTAATGAGCTAGTTTTCTGCTAAAAGCTTAACAATTGCGAGTCTTTCATTTTATATGCGTTACACACAAGGTGCTTGGCACATCAGGGACAGATTTTAAATATAGATTGAATTGTATATGGTTTGCTGACAATAATACCCCGGAATTTTCCGATATAGAGATTATATTATTATCATTATATTATTATCATTATCATTACTATTATTGTTATTATTATTAATAATATTATTATTATTATTAATATTATATTATATTATTATCATTATCATTACTATTATTATTATTATTATTATTATTATTATTATTATTATTATTATTATTATTATTATTATTATTATTATTATTATTATTATTATTATTATTATTATTATTATTATTATTATTATTATTATTATTATTATTATTAGTGTTACTATTATTTTTTTTGGTATTATCATAACATTTGTCATGGTATTTACACACTGAAACGCCTGTGATTCAAACCGGCGACCTTCTCTAAATTAATGTGTTTTACTAATTCTGTGAACTTTCAACTTATTTGAACTCCAAATATTCATTAAGTCAAGCTAATTAGCTGTCTTTTTTTTCCAAGGCTTGAACCCATGCCTCGCCATTTGGCTTGGGTTGTAAACTTGATTTTCTTTGAACCGTGAATCTAGTCGAAAATTTTCAATAAAACAAATTAAATATTTTTGTTAGTTGTCGCTTAATCAAGTTGGATATCCTTTGATGATATTTAATTAAGCGTAGAACTATGCTTGGTGCAATATTTATTCATAAGGTAATTACGAGGGTAATCGACGCTTCTAGTTTGACCAGCCAATTAAACTTTTCTATCCCTACTAGACGAACACGTAATAATTGAGAAAGATCACAGAAAAATAGTGACTAAGGGTTTGAACCGGCATGATCCCAAACAATTTTGGTTACCTTCTCTTTTTCCAAGTCTTCGTTTTCTGAATGCTGCATTTGATTTACCTTCCTCATTCAAATTTGGAATTAATTTTCATCTTGAACAGATTTGAGAGTACTTTAAACAACTTGAGGAGCTGCTCTTTAAGGCAATTCTCATGTGTGTTTTAGGTTTCTGTTTGCTACTCATGAGACGCACGAATTGAAAATATGATGAAATCGTGTTATTTGGCCACGTTCTGGGCTTGATTTAGTTGTGCAAGTTGTGACTATAAATAAAATGAGCATAAAATGCGCTGAGGCCTGAAATTGATGTGCCCGAAAAACGATTGCAATGACAGATGGCCGCTATTAACGGGAAAAGGTGAATACCGTGCGTGTGTGTGTGTGTATGTGTGTGTATGTGAGACCATAAATTCCCAACAGTTGCCAAGTGGCGGTCGCAGAGATGAACCCCCAGGCAGTTGCCAAAACGGAGCGGGCAATGCAAAACATTTCAATAATGAAAGAAAAAATATAAAAGAGAAAATCAGAGCAAAGCTGCTGAGCACACAGAGCAGCCACGTGTGCGTGTGTATTTGTATGTGCGTGTGTGCGTGTGTGTGCAGCCAGCCATTTTATGTTAACAACTTTCTTGGCCCAAAGCGTTTTTCATCAAGAAGCAAGAAGCGACGAGACGTTCTCGACTTTATCATCATTTTGTTTATCATTAACAACTCGTCAGCGGCACACAACATCATCATGCCAATGCTAATGATGAAGATGATGATAATGATTACTTTCAAGTGTGTGCCATATGTCACACACACACACACACACACACACACACACTCAAGTATAGCAACCGCGATTGCTGCTAAAGCAAATCATAATAATTATAATAAAAATAATAATAATAAAAGTAAAATAATATAAAATATAAAAAAAAGAACAAAAAAAAATAAGCAAAATATATGTAAAATCAGTTTTTTATTTAAGCCAGCCCACAAATGGCGCTTTCCGCTGCTTGGGCAACAACTTTATGAACCATAAAATCAGGTGGCAAAACGAGCCAAAGGCACACGACGTCCTTTTCGTGCGGTGCGCCTACGTCTGGCGCCTGCCCGCACCGCCAGCAGGTGCTTGCCTCTTACCTGGGGCTAAGCTCGAATCTGGGGCGTGGCTGCTGGCGGAGCATATAATTCATCTCTGCTTAAAATGCCATTGGATTGCATATGCTTAAGTTTTCATTTTTTATTTTATGCTCAGCGAATGGGTTGCCGTTGTAAGTCCTTAACAGAGATTTCCTCGAACCGGGCGACCGGGCGGGCGGCGCAACCCCCAAAACTGAAACATTACTGATGATGATGTATGGTCATCATGAAATGTTCAATGCTTTGTAAACGTGGATTGCGCGTGTATAAGAAAAACAGATTTAATACCTGGCTGACAAGTTGTCAAAATGGTAAAGAACGTCATGCGCGACAACAGCGATGACCTGTCCTGCCAGTTGTCTTGCATGACATGTCAGCCAAATTATCTGCGAGCTTAAACAGGACTTGTCATCTAGATGAGGTTACAATTCTACAAGCTATCCTTTTGCAAAGGCAACAAACAATTCCTTGGTTCGGTTCACAGTTCAAGTCAGTGCCTCGCCTTAAAAATCAGTTCATGTACCTGGTTTTTCATATACATGTATTCAATCAAGTAATATTTATTTGTTGATTCCGATTTGATTTCCGCAATAAAATAATACTTTTTGACAAGAGCGTTTATATGAAAAACGAGCGCATAAATGCGCTTGAAGCGAAGTCTCAATATAAATTAGCATGCCACAGGGTATATGCCGGTCGGGAATGCTCATAGAGCAGCCATCTCAGTGTTTTTGTTGTTGTTGATTCTTATTCGGCTGGCTTGTGAAGTTGTGGGCAAAAGTTTTCATGTTTTCATATTTTTCAGCCAGGGCCAGCCGCAGGCGATTGCCAAAGATGATAATAAAAGCCGAGTCGAGCATCGAGTCGTGTGTCGAGAGTTGAGTTTCGAGTTGAGCTGAGGCTGTGGGGGCAGTTGTGGAAATGTGAGCTGCTGCTGCTGCTGCCAGCAGCCTGGGGCATGCATGGCGCAAAGTAATGTAAACAAGACACACGAAAGGGGGGGGGGGCTGTAAGGTAGGAAGCAAGGCGCTTGGATACGCGCACATGCACACGCCGAGATTTTGTTGTTGGCCAGTTTTGCGGCTTGGCCCGGTTCATCATTATGCGGGGCATGTTTTTAGCCCTTTGGGCCAACTTGAAGAGTTGCCAAAAAGTTGGCATCTTGCTTACCAGTCAACTCTGTAGGCGTTGTGTTTCAACTCGAATCTAGTGGCTCCCTGTCTCCCTCTGTCAGGGCCGCACAACAAAATACACAGAAATCCACACACACACACACACACACACACTCGCACATACAGCAACAGTTCTCATCGAAATTCAATTTGAATCTTTTCTTTTTCGGAATTTTGGTGTTCTTTTTTTTTTTTTGCTTTTGTTTTGTAATATTTTGTAAAAATTTGTATCTGAATTTTTGTCTTGTTCGTGTTCAAGTCATGTCGCAATCGCCGACGAACTTGTCGTCGCATAAGACGCAGCCGGAGCCGCAGCCGAAGCGAAAGCGGAAGCACGTAGTATACAGCTTTCAGCTGGAGCAGCATATACATCCTTTGACCAAGGATTTGACCGTGATCGCCTGTCTGCCCGATGGCGACTTGCAGTCGTTGGAGCCAATCAAGCCACAAGAGGAGCGCTTCTATAAGATGTACATCTGCGCCACAGATGGGCGTCTGGTCAAGTCGATTGCCTTTACCGAGAGCGATTATCGTGAGGTGGTCAACGATTTCATAAATAGCGAATGCAGCGATGCGGATGCGAATGCGGATGCGGGTGCGGAGGGGAATGTAGCTGGGAATAGAGACAGGCATGGGAACAGGAAAAGAACTGGGGAAGGAGATGTGAGCGGGAAACCAGGCTCCCTGCTGGCTGAATCATCAATCACATTGTTTATGCCGTATCAACAACACATCAAATAAATTTCAATTGTTTGCTCAATCAAATTAGTTCAGTGGGCTGCCCACTCATGGCCTGTTACCTGGGCTAAGCCGACAGTCAATGTGCGCGTGTCTGGCAGCTCAATTAGGCAGCTGTGCTTTGGCCGCGTTGCTCGTCGGCTCGCGTACATCATGTTGATTGAAGTTGAGCCTCGAGCCAGTTTCTGGCCATTTGATTGATCAATATGACTGTTTGCTTAGCTTCTCACGCCAAGCTAAATCAGCTTACCAGCTGACTGAGTGACTGACTTTTCCTTATATTCCAATCGGCCTTGAGTTCATTTGAAGAGAAAATGAAGTTCTCAAGTTGCAAAGCTCAAAAATTAAACGGCCAAAAAACGGATTTTCCATTTGAATAAATAAGTCCTTGGCTATTATCAATCGAGCAGCAGTTAATGAAAGCTGAGCTTCTATTAGCTCTGTTTAGTCGAGCAATATGACTGCAAGGAAGTTTCGTCAACTGTTGAAACTGAACACTACAATTTCCTTGTTTTTCGATCTTTGTAATCATTCAAAAAAAAAAAACCTTTTTGTCCCGCATTTCTCAGTTTTTTCGACAAATATCAAAGCAAGGACTATTTATGGTGCTTCCATGTCAGAAGTTTTTCTGAATAGCAAATCTTTGCAAGGAACGCCCACTTTGCCATTCTCTATCTCCGTTCCACTTTGACAATACCCTGCACCCATTGATGGAGAAAGGTAAAAAACAAAGTATCATGGATTTGTGCTAATGTGTGTAGCAGGAAGAAGAAAAAGTGTAAAGAAGTGTAAGTTCCATACCGAAAATCGATTGATTGCCTTCGAAATTGCAAAGCATGTGGCAAAGTTGTGTTAGCTGTAGTTGCGGTTGCGCCACCCGCCGCCAGTTAACCATATTGTGTGGGCCACCAACGCAGAGGCGTGGCGAGGGCTGGAGTGTTTGAATTGGATGGCTGGCGGGCTGCGGGGCTGGAGGCGTGGCTTTATTTGATATGCTCACGGCAAAGCTGTGGGACAGACTTGGCAAATGCTACTTTGATGTTTCATGTCATGGTTTTTGCCTGGTCAGCTCTCTCACCTCTCGCAATCCCAGCTCTCCCACCTGGTTTCCCGACCCCCTCCCCCAACTGACTCTTGAGCTGCCGGCACCCACATCGAACGACCAGTTCCCATTCCGGTTCGGCTACTGACAGCTTTCAGTATGTTTATGCATATTATTTCTCCTTTTGTTTTTTTTTTTTTTTTGGTTTGTTTGCTGTGCTCCACTGATCAACCAAAAAAATGGCAAGGGGGGCGTACCAACGCCGACTTGATGGCTGCCGGGCATAATTTATGCCGGGCCGACGGAATGGTCGACGGATTTGCCAATGGACGTTGACGGGACGCTGACAGGAAATCCAAAGCGGAAATTTGCTTAAGAAAATTGTCGAGTAATGTCGGAAATCCCGCTGTTCGCTGAAGACAAGTCCCTAGTCCGAAGTGTCCGACTAGGAAATAGCCTGCGCAGAGCTGCGGCCACAATTCGTCGATAATTAGCGGGTAATCGGAGCAGTTCAGCTAAAGCTCGCAAGTCTCTAGTTCTTATAGTCTCTGAGACACATGTGAACAGATGAACACGGCCAAATAGCCTTGGCTGTTGATTCTACCCATCCTTAAATGGGTTCAGGGTATACAAATAAATAGACGATAACAAAAATGAAAATGAAAAACTTAAACGTCAGCCATCAATTAGCCCAATGCAACAGGGCAGCCGAAGGCCAGAAGCTGCCAGCGGGTCGAATCCCCACGAGAATTTGGCAAGTGGCGACCAGCGCAAAGGAACTTAAAAGGAATTGCTCAACTATTAAGAACTGGAGTGTGTGTGTGTGCGGCACAATTTGTTTGGCTACAAGTTATACAAGGTGGGCAAGAGGTAGGCGGTGGGCAAGCAATAGATCCCATGCGGAAACCGGATATGGCAAAGAGGTTGAACTTGTTGCAATAACTTTTAGCCTGGCCCAAAAGGACATACACACACGCACACACATGTTTTATGAAGAGCGATAAATGTTATTTACTTGGCCAAGTTTTGTTGGCTAAACTTTCGTAATTGAAGAAAGCCCAAGCGTCTAGAAAATTAACTCTAAAAAAGCTCAGAATTGGCGCTGCCAACATACTTATATAGAAACGCACACACATACACACACACATATACATATATATAAGTATATATATATAGAAGTCTATTTGCTATTAAAAGAGCATTCCATCCGATCGAAACTTGGGCAGCAAGCGTTTGGGCGGGAATGCCCCTTTTTCTATTTGGCTAATCGATTTGGGTACGTTTTCTATTTTTTCTTCGAGGTAAATAGAGCTTAAAATCGACTTAAAGTGTGCGCCGAAACAGATTTAATGTTGTTTCTATTGTCGCACATTAGCTGCTTTTTGTGAGTTGGCTTTTCACATGAGCGAAGATCTCCAAATGGATTATAAATTGTTAAAAACTGCCCGGCGAAAGGGTTTACAACTTTACAAAACTGCTCAAGATGTGAGTCACGAACGGTTCCATGCCCTGCATTAATTCTATTAAGAAATAGTTATAATAGATACAATGAGGAGGGAATTTGATGTTTAGCTTCCAAAGTGCCAAAGTAGCCTTTTGAATTCGTATCATTTTTGTAGGATGTTTTCTGGTCGAGAGCTTTGCAAGCAATTCAGTAAATTTTCAGCTTTTGCATTGACAACACTAAGCCAATACAGCCGAAAAACTTGGGAGAATATTATTATATTTATTGTATTATAATATCAATGTTAAATAATTTTTCCAAATTATATTCACGCATTGTCGCGGGACAAGTTGTCGGTGATATGCAGCGTGTATCCGATACCCAAGCAGAACTTTTCATTGAGCACAGTCCACTCCAATATTACTTTTGAATACTAAAAAGAGGAAAACGACAAAAAACACTATTTCAAAATTTTGCTTCGCTTTCCAAGGAGTTTTCGAAGGCGGCTAAGAATCATATCAAAAGCATAAAGAAAATATCTATATCTATATATTTGAAAGAAATTAATTAAATTCCTCGAAGCCGCTGACAGAGTGTTGGAGAAAGCGAGCGTGACAGTGACAGTGACAGTGACAGAGACAAGATAGGGAGAGAGAGAGAGAACGAAAGAGAGAGAGAGAGAGAGATTGAAAGCAAGAGCGAGCGAGCGATCTTGTGGGAGATGGAACGTGGACGGCACACATATGAGTGGAGAAACTGCAGCTGCGGCCGACGTGGTCGCATCTGCGTCTGTGCGCCCCGCAACAGCATGGACCCAATGCTGATTCATGTGATGAACGAATCGAGGCGCTTGCGCGTCATAGACGAGCTGCGTGCCGAGCTGGACAAGGATCTGCTGGGCGTCGATGCCAAATGGGTGCTATTCGGCATGGCCATACAGAGCTATCGCTACGAGCAGCTGCTGGTGCCGTATCCGCCAGCGTATTGTACACCCGCCGGCTTCAACATCAATTCGCTGAGCTATGTGGCCGGCACCATGTCGGAGCTGGCCAGCTTTCAGCGCCGTCTGCTGCAGAATGTGCTGCCGCCGGAGCAGGTGGAGCTGCTCCACTGGCTGCTCATACAGAGCGGCACGCCTCAGTTGCGTCAGCTGCAGCGCAACGATCAGTTGCTGCTGTGGCGCCAGCTGGAGCAAAAGCCAGAGCCACGGCCACATTTGGTGTTTCGAGTACAGCAGCGCAATCAGGATTCGGAGCCAGTCGAGCCACTGGACGTGACCAATTGCGTTTACTTTTGCGGCGACATGGAGGAGCTGTATGCGCTGATTGCCGCCGGCAGTCATGATATCAGCAGCTCGGAGCTGGAGTTTTACGATGATCTGGAGCAGGCATGCAGCATGGCTGAATGGTGTCCCGGCTGGGGCTATTCCATATGCGGCACTCTGCTGCGCAGCATCGCCGTTTGCCAACTGCGCCAGGCATCGCCAGAGCTGCCCCAGCTGCTGCAGGTGCGCTATCTGCTCATCTATAGCATGAACTATACACAAAAGATGCAGGGTATACGGCGGCGCCAGTGGAAGAAGATACTACAGAATCAGCTGCTGCAGCAGCAACTGGAACTGGACCAACAGCAGCACCATCGTTCCCACCATCAACAGCAGCAGCAGCAGCAACAGCAACAGCAGCAACGACAGCAGCAACTGGGGGAGCAGGAGGACGAGGAGGATGAGCTGGATCGGGAGGAATGGCAACTGGAGGTGTCAAAGCAGCAAGATCATATGCACGCGGCGCCAGCAAAAAGCTCCATCTTCGACTGGCTTTTGAGCAGGCGCAACGTATTTGTTTTCCTTGGTGTACTCACGGTCGCTTCGCTGTCGCTGATGGCCAAGAATGTGCGTCAAGTGCACCAATGGCGGGCTATTTGGCTAGCAAAAGGTGCCAATTGACCAAATTCTCGTTTCATTTATGTTTATGCTGCCCCACAGGCCATTCCATAAAAATGTCTTGTAATTACAAAAAAAAAAAACAATCAAAAGGAGCAACAATTTCTATAGCTAAAAGAAGGGCATCAACAAGTTGCGCAAGTGTGCGATGTTTTTGATTTCATTTTCAAATTTATATATTTAAATAAGCAAAATAGTCAAACCGCCGACTAAATCTGTGCATTTCTTTGTTTTAGTTCGAAAAGCAGTTACCATGGAAGTCGGCAGCTGTGGGCATGAAATATTCAGATATAGCCCTAATTCTCTTTCCATTAAATAGCACGTTATATTCAAATCGAAGTCGGTTAACATATTTACAGGGTATCTGCTGGCACGCATGTGCTGGGGCATGCCACGCGCCTACCACTCGTCGTGTAGGCATTTTCAGAGCTTGTTGCTCGTTGAAGCGCGAATGAGCATTTAAGTGTTTTCCCATGTTTGTCCCCATCCGAGTCAAGGCTTACAGCTAAGGGGGTGATTGGGGGTAGGCAAATGTGCTGCTTCACATGTGGAGTTCATAGCATGTGTGCGCAAGTGCTATTGAAAAAGACTTGGAAATTTTTCCAAAATTGCAGATTCAAACTCAAGACTTCTTTTGCCCTCGCATAGCTCGGGCTTAATGTGACGAATTGCAAAATTCACATAGCCCACTCAAAGTCCAGGGAAATGCCTGTTTCTGAGTACTATCTGCCTCTCATGTACTACATATATGCTTGAGTAGTGTGTGGCTAAAGTATACCCTGTAGTTTTAATTGATTTACCACGTTCGACGTTTGCTTATTGACAAAAATGTTTAACATATAATTTATTCAATCGCATTTCTATTTGTATTTTAATATAAAGTTCTTCTTGCAGCTGCTTTTCTTCTACTGATTTTTGGAAAATACGTTTTGCTTCGGGCTGAGCCTAAGTTGTTTTTTTCTCAGCTATTTCTCTGTTGCCCTCTCTGGCAAGTGTGCAGGGTATGCGCACGTTCTGCTGGCATTTCCTGCACATTTCAGACTTTGTTTCATTATGTTTTTCATGTCGGCCCATGGGCAGCACGTCAAATACATGCTTTGCAGCTGGACTGACAACTGACCCAATTGGGCCTCGAGTTAGCATTACGACATTTCTCCACATGCCGTTTTCCATTTCCATTTCACGTTGGCCCGCCGTTTGCCCCCCGTTGCCATGCTGCTTTGACCATTGATGGGTTTATTAGCAACTGTGGCAAAAGATTCTGCTGAATGCGGCTTGTGGCGTTTCACAACTGACTAAACACCAAACAATCGTTGAAGTCGCCAACGTTGCCAACGTTGCTGCAATACCCGGCGCCCCGTCTGGCCCCGTCGGTTGCCCCTGGCCGCTCACTGGAAATATGCAAAGCGCGCCGCAAATTTTGTTGCTCAAGAATATATCGAATGCCTCGAAAGCTCTATGGCTCCCATTAAACGCGCCTTTAATATGCAAAAGCCACTCGTGTATACAAATAATGTGCACGTTAATAAACACGCGTAGATCACGGGCTGGAGAGGGGGTGACGGGGGTAGTGAGTGGTTAAATAAACAGCGCAGTTGAGCCGAAGAGAAACAAATCTTTTTGTTCTTGTATGATTTGGGAGTGTGTGTGCTTGTGTGTCTGCTGAAGCGGGCGCAAGATTAACGTGGCGTATGCGCAATATCTACAAAGTGCTTTACTAGCTGCCAATATGTGCAAGTGTATGCGTGTGTGTGTGTGTGTGTATGTATATACATATATGTACTTTTGTGTGTGTATTTATAGCTGATTTGTGCGCCAAATGCATCCACAGTCGATTGCCTTTCACTTAACATCAATTTAAATAACCAACTGAAATATACGAAACATGCCAAGAATTTGTGTTCTCTGCTGGAATTTGGCCAAATTGTTGTTCGGCCCACGAACACAGTTGGAGGATGTTAGTTAGTATGTAAAGTGTGCAATTACAGTAAGCACTCACTTAACGCAACCCATTCAAATGGAGTCGATTCAAGAAAAGCCTTTTCTTCACATTACTTTATTTTATTCTTTCATTTTCTTTATGTATTTATCTATTTCCATATTTATTTTTGAAGAATGTTTTAGGCTACGAATATATATTATGTAGATAGTATATTAAGAGACAGTAAAAATACACAGGATATCTATCTACTTCAAAAAATTCATGCTTTAAGTATTATATGTCATACCAAAAGATTTCTTGCTCTTTTACGTCATAAATAATTGGCTAAAATATGCTTACAAGCGCATCTACAAAATCTCTCCAAATATTATCATTTTATAAATTCATAGCAAAAGCCCTATAGAAACTCTTGGAGCTCGGCGGCTGACAGAGACAGATACACTAAATACATATATGCCGAATATTTGATAAAAAAAATAGTAAGATATGGATATTGAAAAATCGTAGACTGCATATCAAGCAGATTATTTCTAATGCAAAGTTCTTGAAGAAAACGCGTTTAAAAATATTCTCAACTTTTTCGATATGCCAAATATACTTATAATATATAATAAAATAATATATTATATAGATATATAATTGTAAGCTTTCTATTAAATCTATCTTGAATATCTTGAAGGCAAATTTCTCCAGTTAAATGCTTTCAAAAATATTCTGATCTTAAATAGTTTTGACATATATTGTACTGGTATTATATGCAGAATATTTATAGAAACTTAAAAACTCTAAATTGAATCTCAAGGAGAAGGCAAGCTTCTCAAGGAAAATGCGTTTAACAGTATCCTGCACTTATCTAATAATTGTATCATCTAACTTCAAGCTATACAAATTCATCGAACTTAGAGAACAAAGAAAATGGCATAGTCCATTTCTATTTTCTTGTTTTTTCCTAGGTTTAAGAGCAAAGTCTGGCAATTTGTATATGGCTTTTGCTCAAAATCATTTCTTAAATAACTCCAAATAATGATATAGGGCATAAGCCAGGTCGAACACATTTTGTTTTCTTTGTTTTGGTCTTTGACAGCCGTGACTTTGTGTTCAATTTATTTTTTATCTGCCTTGGGTAAAGTGTGCGTGTGGCGGGGTATGGCAGGGCATGTGGCTGTACGGGCCTTTACCAGCGCTTGCAAATTTATTTATTTATTTTTGCGCTGTGTAGATTTATGCAAATACTCGCTGGAGTCTATTAAATTTGCATATTTATCAATTTGTTTTGCGTGTTTTTTGCTGCCTCGTTTGTTGTTTTTAATGTTATTTGCCTTTGCCAGCATATTTTAATTATTTTGCAGAGCCGTTGCCCCAACTTATTTAAACATCATTTGCATAGGCAACAGACGCTGAAACTGATAAACAGACCAACTGACAAGCTGGCAAACTGACAAGCTGACAAACTGTGAAAGTGAGCTTAAAAAAAATGACAAATATATATATATATCTGGATACATAGATATAAAATAAATAATAAAGAATCAACTGGCAGATAAAGCTGAAAATCTTGCGGCAACATTGCGTATACTTAATAAGGCTGCAATCCAATTAGGCGCAGGATACATCAAAGGTAAATGAATTGGGCTGCCCGCTGCCCGCTGCCCGCTTCCCTCTCAGTCGTTAGGCGATCAAATATTAAATAGACTGCCCCAATGTGCCACACAAATTAGGTTGCCCCTCTAGCCCATCAAGCCCCCTCAGGCCTTACGACGCCCACCACCAACAACAACAACAACAACAACAACGAAAAATTGGGAACTTAACCGAATGCTAAGCGCTCAAAGGACTCCTCACAGCACACTGGCGCACTCTGAGCAAAGGTAATTATCATTATGATAATTAAAATATATGAGTCCGAGCCATAGTGCGTGTCCTTTGCCGTCCATCAAGGCAGCCCCTTGCTGGCGTCCGTGCCATCACATTTGGGTTGACATGTTCATATCACTAAAACTGCTTTTAATTCCTGGAAAATCAGTTGATGTTGTCGTTCAGCTTGCGCTCCGAGCTGCTGTTGTTGGACAGCATTAACAACTACTTTAGCAACTGAGCAGCTTAACTAAGTAGCTCTGAGATAACCATAATGAATCTCTCGTCTCCTGCCTCTACACAAATCATGAGCACATTTTGGTTAAATTGCTTTGTGGCTGGTGTTGAATCTAGTTGCATGCAATTTGCGGCTTTCGTCTATTGTTTAACAAATGAAATATGCTCTTATGATATGAAACCATATTTTGCAGCACATCTATCTTCTGTTGTGAGCGATTGTTAATGTATAATAATATTTGTCATACTGAAGACAGCAACTATGCAGTCTCTCCAGCACGAAACGCACATAAAATCTCAAATAGTTTTTAGAAACTTATATTATTGTCAAAAATTTGGTAGTTATAGTATGTTGTGCTTAGAATTGTGGGTATTGCCTTGCCATCTTGATTTGCATTTTTTTTTGTAAATATATTTAAATAACATCGAACTAGGAAAGAGTTTTATACAAAGGAAGGTGGAATTTCCAGAAGCCCCGTCTTAACGTGCACCTTTACCACACAATGTAACAACAGAAAAAATTGCAGTTTCGTAGCTTTTTGTGGTTTGGGTTGATCACCGATCAGTCAGTCAGTCCGTCAGTCCGTCAGTCCGTCAGTCCGTCAGTCAGTCAGTCAGGTAGTCAGTCAGTCAGGGCAAACAGTCTTATATATGCTTAATACTCAGCTCATTGGAGTCTGAAAGTAGAACATCTACAGAAAGTAAATTCAGTTAGTGGCTTCTTCTCTTCTAAATACCAGCTAGAGTTAAATACTATGATAACAAACACATTTTGGAAATGGGCGACTTTAGGAGCTTTCAACTTGCTTTAGTTAGCGCTGAAATCGACTAGTACCTTCTGATCTCTACCAAGCGAATGAATGTGAAGTGAGTATAGTTATGATATTTACATTGACAACGAAGCGGAAGGTGGGCAAGGAGGAGCATAATAATGTGAGATATTTAGAGGATTCGCCTCTTCGACCTTCCGTCGCTGGGGTGCAGGCGGCTCCCTGAGATAGTCTCAGCCAGGACCCTGGCTGCTGACGAGGCTTATCTGATCTCCGACCCTTGTTAGGCGAAGATCGCGCTCGATAGAGACTGTAAGAGTTAGAGCAAGCCAATTTGCAGTAAAGTTAAACTTTCTCAAGATGTTTATGAAATCGCATAGTATAGTTAAGACCTTGCTACAGTATTACAAGCTTGATCTCTGACACATATCCCTTAAGCTTTGCTCATTTGATAAAGCGTGGCCTTTATATGTATATACCTGTCATATTATAGTTGAAATTGCATGCCCATACTTGAAGAAACAACTAAGGAATTTAAAAAAAAAAGAATCAGGTTTTACCCAAAATAAAAAGAAATATAAAATAGTAGAAGTATTTCTCATGAAATAAATGAAAATATGTTAGGCTTGATTATTTCCTATTAAATTCCTACCGCAACGA